GTGAGTCCTATATGTGTCTCAGGTGAGTCCTACATGTGTCTCAGGTGTGTCTCAGGTGAGTCCTACATGTGTCTCAGGTGAGTCAGGTGCTCAGCAGAGGGACATGCGTTTGCGGTGCTGTTCCACCAGCGGCACCAGGCAGCGCGGTGATCCGGCCTGCAGGAGGAACGGATGCTCCAGCAGGTCTGAAGCCACCGAGCGCTGCTGCGTGTCCCGAGTCAGCATTCTACCCAGGAAGTCCTTCAGCACCGGAGACACCTGAGACACAGGAAGTGATGTCATCAACCACCGGCTCACTGGTTAGCCACTTAGCATTTGTGAGCCAATGTTCACTAATTGTTGTACAGAGTCCATGTACTTTAGAACACAGTCTGAGTAAATTTGTTTACAGTCTGAGTACTTCAGTGTACAGTCTGAGTACTTAGTACACAGTCCATGTACTTTAGTACTCAGTCTGTGTACTTTAGTAAACAGTCTGAGTACATTTGTTTACAGTCTGAGTACTTTAGTGTACAGTACATGTACTTTAGTACTCAGTCTGTGTACTTGAGTTTACAGTCTGAGTACATTTGTTCACAGTCTGAGTACTTTAGTACACAGTCCATGTACTTTAGTACTCAGTCCAAGTACTTTAGTAAACAGTTCAAGTCCTTTAGTACCCAATCCATGTACTTTAGTACTCAGTCTGTGTACTTGAGTTTACAATCTGAGTACTTTAGTAAACAGTCCGTGTACTTTAATACACAGTTCATGTACTTGTACTTTACTACTCTCTGAATCCTTCTTCCACTGCTGTTTCTGACCCAATGTTCACTAATTGTTAACGATGTTAAAGTTAAGGTGGTCCTCACAATGCACGTTGTGTTCTTGTGTCCTCCCTTTGTATTGAAGATGTGTGTGTGTGTGTCTGACCCTGTGGACATTCTTCACGCTCGGTGCCGCCTCGTCTCTCAGCTTCTTCATGGCGTTGATCGGTGTGTCGCTGAAATACGGCGGCTCTCCGTCCAACATCTCCACCACCATGATGCCCAGAGACCAGATGTCCACCTGAGCGGAACAGGAAGCTGTCAGAGTTCACCTGCACACACACAGGTGTTTCAGACCAGGTGCTCTACAGGTGGACGTCTACCTCGGTCCCGTACGGGGTCTTAGAGATCACTTCAGGAGCCATCCAGTACGGGGTCCCCACCAGAGACTTCCTCCTCGGGACCTCTTTACTGATCTGAGCACAGAAACCAAAGTCTGATAGTTTGATCTGTGGAAGAGGAAGAGGAAGAGGAAGAAGAGGAAGAATCTGAATCTGAATAATCAGGTGTTTGTTGCATTTGTTGTTCTTGTCGTTGATCACTTTCAGCTAGTTTTTGAGTCTCTTTCTGGACTAATCTGTGAGTTGTATTGTGGCGTTCATGTTAAGCTACATGCTAAGCTACATGCTATTTATATATTTATACATATATATAAACGTGTGTGTGTGTGTGTGTGTAAGTGTGTGTGTGTGTGTGTTACCCTCCCGTCCACACTCAGCAGGATAGAATCACTCTTGATGTCTCTGTGAACGACTCCTTGAGAGTGAAGATAAGTTAAAGCCTGAAGGACGCTTTCACACACGGTGGCTGTTTGTTCCTCGTTCAACCTGAGAGAGCAGAGAGTACTTTAGTACACAGTCTGAGTACTTTATACACAGTCTGAGTGCTTTATACACAGAGTACTTTATACACAGTCAGAGTACTTTATACACAGTCTGAGTACTTTATATACAGTCAGAGTACTTTATAACACAGTCAGAGTACTTTAGTACACAGTCAGAGTACGTTAGTGTACTTTAGTACACCGTCTGTGTACTTGTACACCATGTCTCTGACTTCCTGCTCACCTGGTTTCACTGACAATGTGAGTGAGAGCGCCGCCCTGCAGGTACTCCATGATTACCCAGAGTTCCTCCTCCACCAGAGCGCTGCTGAACATCTCCACCACGTTCTGGTGCCGGTAGTCCCTCATGATCACCACCTGAGACGCACGGGACAGGTGAGGCTGCTGATGATGTATACTTTACATTACGTAGCATAACGTCTGGTACGTTATGCTACGTTACTTCGCGTCGCGTTACTTCGCGTCGCGTTACTTCGCGTCGCGTTACTTCGCGTCGCGTTACTTCGCGTCGTGTTACTTCGTGTCGCGTTACTTTACCTCGTTGAAGAGCAGCTCTCTCCGTTGTTACTTTACGTGACTTGACTTGACTTGACTTTATTTAACGTTACATTACGTTACTCTCCATTACTTTACGTTACTTTATGTTACGTTACTTTACTTTACTCTACCTCGTTGAAGAGCAGCTCTCTCCGTTGCTGCTTCCTCAGGTCCATCATCTTCACGGCCACCTGTCTCCCGCTGTGTTTCTCTCTAGCGATGCAGACCACACCTGTGGAACCCTCGCCGATCTTCACAAAGTTCTCCAGAGTCTTCCTCGGGTCCCCCGGGTCGACCACCATCTGCAGCGCCGCCTTGAACTGCTCGTGAGTCACCTTCACACCTGCGTCAGGTGACGTCTGCTGGGGGGAGGGGTGGGGGGAGGGGCGGAGCTGGCTGAGGGGGGTTTGTGTTTTTGGAGGAAGTCCGATGCTGAAGCTGGAGGAGGGGCGGAGCGAGCGCTGAGGTCGACCTGTGATGAGGGGGCTGCTGGTGCTGTTGGGGGGGGGCAGCAGGAGCGGGGATGGGGGGGAGGTGAGCTGGGGGAGAAGAACACCTTTAGGCTAGCAGTTTACCTCTGTTTACAGTCTTTATGCTAAGCTAAGCTAACCAGCTGTTTGTAGCTTAGTGGAACAATCTCAGAAAAATATATTTATAATATTTAAATGTGCACTAAGAAGTGATTTTCAAAGAAAACTTAACATAAAATATATTATATATATTATAATATTCTGGGTCTAATACATCAGCAGAAATAGGGAAGATAAACGCAGTAATACATAATCTTTTTAATATTTTATATATTTTATTTTGTTGTGTTTTATTGTATTTTATGTAACTTTACGTAACTTTACGTTACTAACCAGCTGTTTGTAGCTTGATGGAACAATAGAATCTCAGAAAACTTTATTTATAATATTTAAACGTGCATAAAGACGAGGACGGATGTGTTACCTTGAGGTCATAGGAGGAGTGAGGCCTTCTGGGAGTTTCTCTGGAGGACAGTAGGTCCGGCAGGTGACTGAGCAGCGGTCTCGGTCTCAGGTGAGCTCTGCTGGTCTCCACAGTTTGCAGGTGGTTGTAACAGGAAGCCGGTCCCTGCCTTAGCCCCGCCCCCTCACTACGGGCGTACTGTCCACCCGTTGATCCCCCCGCACCGCTCCTCTGAGGCATCGCACCTGTCGAACCCGTCACAGGTGTGGGGGGTGTAGGGGGCGTGGCCTCGGACAGAGCCCCCAGCTCACAGGTGGACTTGGGTCTCTGCAGAGCTCCGTTCAGTTTTGGGCTGCCTCCCTCGCTGCGCACCTGTCGGATCCGGTCCTGCCAGTAGGTGGAGCTCCGCCCGCCCGTCTTCCCGTCATCGTGACCATCGAGCCGCTCGTACTGGTACGACTCCTCGTCCACCAGTTCTCCCAGTTCTCCCAGTCGGCCCAGAGACCGGGCACGTTTACGTGCCGACGGGCTGCTGCGGCGCAGAGAGTTTGAACCGGTGATGGACAGCCGGCTCATCTCAGAGATCACCTGCGAGATGTAGTCACCATGACCGATGAAACTCCCACGGACGATCGTCTGCAGACAGACACAAATATTATGTTGTTATATATTCTATGGATTCAACGATCAATACAGGAAGAGCTCCATGTGTTAAAGCTGCATTCTCTCTAGTGTCCACCAGGGGGCGACTCCTCTGGTTGTATAGAAGTCTATGAGAAAATGACTCTACTTCTCTCTTGATTTATTACCTCAGTAATACATTTCTGTTTCAGGACTACTTCATCATGACCTTTGACCCTCTCCCTAATATATCTGCTGTGCAAAGGATTGTGGGTCAGAACAGCAGAAAGAGAGTGGGTGTAGTAGAACATCCTGGTACTTCTGGAACACGGTGTTTGACATGTTTATGTTTACACAGTCTGTAGAGAGTCTGTTAAACAGGGGGTCAGAACCTTCCCTCTACTTTGTGATGTCGTAATGTTTTCAGCAGCAGATGGAGACAAAGAGTTTAACATCTAAATCCAGACTCTGATTCACAACCAATAGGAAAGCTGCCTTGTTGACCTCTGATCAGGTCACGCTCTACGGTCCAATCAAGAGGAAGCTCTCCTCTCCCCGACAAAATAAAAGCAGCAGCCGAGAGACAGAAGAATGCAGCTCTGTGAGGTAATTACTGCACTAACTACCTTTAATGACTTCTATTGTTATCTTGGTGACCCAGAAACAGAAGCTCTGTGCTGAGTTCAGGAACCACTGAGATAAATCGTAAACATGAATACAATCATCTTTGAACCATGTGAGAGGTTTAAATTAGATAAATAAACATAAATCATTTTACAGTGTAAAAATCAAATAGCTCTGTCATGGAGACGACAATGATGACGTTAAATATTATATTATAGAATATATAATACAATACATTTACATCTATTTATAGTTACTGATATTTATATTTACTGATTAGGTAACATCGTTGTGAGATTTAAGTGAAGAAAACTAAGAGTTGTTTAAGAGTTGTAGTGATTAAACTTCATGGATGAATAAAGAGAACTTCATGCTAACGATTCTCCTTCATGCTGACGTTTCTTCTTCATGCTGACGTTTGTTCTTCATGCTAACGATTCTCCTTCATGCTAAGGATTCTCCTTCATGCTGATGTTTCTTCTTCATGCTGAAGTTTCTTCTTCATGCTAACGATTCTCCTTCATGCTAACGATTCTCCATGCTAACGTTTCTCCTTCATGCTAACGT